AATCTGTTGGCCATTCAAACCCAGTGGGCCCTTTTTATTTTAAATAACCAACTACATTGGAGGATGATGTGTACAAGCCTACTCTGTGGTATGAAAATAAACAAAAAATGCTGGTTCTAAAGGAGAAAATTAAAGAACTTTTTAGTTAAAAAGTAGGAATAAGTGAATACAAGCAAGTCTTACCTCCATTTCTGTGGGTAAAGAGAGCAGCACACATGCTTAAATTTTCAGAGTTTACCACAATTTGAACAGTTGCATCAAACAATCAGACATGTTCTTTAAAGACACTTTTTTATTTCCCACATACAGAAATGTACAGCTCCTACCAGAACCTACAAATACTGTAACTAAGTACATTTGTTGTCAAGTAACATGTTACAAAGCACTCTGCATTTTGCTAGTGTGCTCTTAAAGAATGTTTGGGTTCTTTTGGCTGAGAAAAATCAGGACTTCAGTATATAAAACCAAAGACAGCTGCAAGGGAGAGAAAGTAAGTGCTTGCTAAAAAAAAATTAATGCCCATTTAACTTATATATGTAACTAATAGTTTGGAAGTGGATGTTGATGTCATTAAAAGCCAATGCATGTCACATGATTCCAATTTAGCCTTCCAAGAGATAAATAATCAGGTATAAGAATCACCACAAACATGTTGGAAGAATATTAAAGCTAATAGCATGCAGGAATCTTTGACAAATGCTTGTCAATTTTAGTCCTTAAGAGTCTAATAGCTCTGTTTCTTGCATTGTTTGGCTCACAGGGTAAACATTTCAGATATTAAAGAAGTGTGAGCTAGTAAAATGAAAGAAGGGATTCCTCCGACTAGTATGGCTGGCCTTAGCCGCTGCGTCAACATAGCAGCTTCACACCTGAGCTGAGTGGACAGTTGGGCTCACCACTTCCTACCAGGAATTCTGAGTTGCAGTGTTACACATTTAAGATGACTGGATTATGGCATCCTCAAAAGCTTTTGATGAATAAACCAAATTTGGATTATAAATTCTTATTAAAAGTTGTTTTTTTCCTGTTACGGAAAGGGAATTGATACAACCAAACAGGCCAGCCATAAGACTGAAGTGAACAAGGCTGTGACTGAAGCTCCGCAAACAGATCTGCACAGCCGAAGCGGCTGCAGTCGCTCCGAATTCCCTCACGTAATGACAATCAGAATCGCTCTTCCCCCAACAGCAAGTACAGGAAGCCGAGAAACAACCAGGACGTGCTCTCGGTGCCTCCCCGCCAACAGTGTAAGTGCGTTAGAGTGCCGGTTTACAGCTTAACCCTTGGCACACGGGAGCGGTGAAGCAGCCAGCACTGCTGCTTTCGCACTTTCCTGGGCTAGAGTCTCCCTCGGTCCCCCCCCAAGGCTAAGCTGCTCTGTCCACAGCAGTTAAAAAAAGCCCCTTTCAAACCTGAAAGACAGCAAAGTGTTTAGCCAAAATGACTCAGTTACTGCATTCCAGCTTTGCCCCAAGTCTAGTCTGACATCCATCGTCAACATGTGCCCACTGGTGACGTGCTCCATGTTTGCCTTTCCCAGTCCTACTGGGACAGCAGCCAGTAAATGGTGGGATGGGGCAAACCTGTAGAAATTGCTGAGAATAAAGGTTTCACATATGGCCATATTTAATTGTAAACAACGGCACAACACTTTGTACCTACAGCACAGCGTCCTTTCTCTTGAGACCTCATATCACACATTAAACATGGCAACAGCTCTTTGAGGTAGGTATCATGTTTTGCATACGGAATACTTGAAACGGGGGAAAGCCCCAATTTACTGAGGAGCTATTTTTTAAGTACCCAGCTAGTTACCTGAACACAGCCGAGCTCACCGACTTCACTGAAGAGCAGCTGCCGGGAGACTGCCAGGGAGCAGGGAGGGCCTTGCTGCATCTCTAGCTCAGCACCTAAAACTGGAGTCCATTTTTCAAGATTCTGGCTTACAAGATTTGAGAGATGAGTAGCTCCCAGGGAGCCAGAACCCAAAACTCCTCCCAGTCTCAACTCACAAGAGGTTGCTGTGAAGAAAACAGCATGTTTTATTTCCTAAACCACACTGATAGTCATTTTAGGGGGAAAAAGGTGTTTTAGAAGAATTCTGCTTCTTTTGTATCTGCAGTTCACAAAGTCGGATTTAAAAAGCACAGCACAGCATCAGCCACAACATCCAGGCTGTTGTCCCCTTTCTCCTGTTACATTAACCTTCAGGAAAAAAGGGGGAAAAAAAAAATCCATATTGGATTATTTAAATTGATAGCTAAGTAAATTGGTAGGTGGAAAAACCCAGGCAATTTTGCTTAAAATTGAGAAGGGAGAGATCACAAGCTGCTTCCCAAACAGATGTGTGCAGCAACCTCTTGTGGGGCAGAGGTGCGGTACCAGCGAGGAGCAAGAGGAAAAGCCACGGTGTGACATCCCTGGAGCAGCAGGAGGGAGCGCTCCGAAGGACCAGCCCTTCACCACTCCCAGGCTCATTCAGAGACCTGCCAGGGAGTGCCAAGTTACAGACGCCTCACTGACAAGAGTTAAACACCCAAAACTTTTACTGGTGGAAGGAGAACAGCATATGCCACATTTTAAAATAAAAAATATAAAATCCAGTGCAATGGAAGAGATTCTTAACCAGAGCAAACAGGAATGTTACCACCATGGGATGTGACCAACCCCGTAAGAATCAAGCCTCAGGAAGCTGAAATCCTGAAACGGCATGGGGAGGACGAGGCTGGGTTTGCTCGTGATGCTTTGGGAGTCAGTCTGAAATTCTGCTTCTAGCATCAGAATTAATTATGGCTAAAGGATTCTACATTAGGGATATACACACATGCACTTTTAATTCCAGAACTCTTGATTTTTTCAGAGCAAAGGTATTGCTTTTCCCCTCTCTATAAGACTCCAGTTACACTAAAATGCCTGAGACAGAAGTTTTATTCATCTGGGAGAAATGGTAAAGTCCACAGAACAAGTGGGGAACTCTCTGAAATCAGAACTTTCCCCGAGGCCTGCATAACTAAGTTACCTGTTCTGCTCTCACAGTGAGTGATGCAAGATGGGAGAGAAATTTCTTTGACTCCAGTACTTTAAAAAAAAAAAACCAAGCAACTTATATAAGCACATCAAGTTCTTCATCTCCCATTGTTCCCAAATATTGGGTCTCTCTTCTTCTTTGTCAGTGCCCGGTGCTTCAAAACCAGTAATTAAAAAAGCAGGGTTAGAAGGAACTAGTTTACACATATGTTGTTCTTAGTTGCACAAATTCCATCGACCTTAATAAAAACTTGGTGAGAGGGAAAGAAACCCCAAGTCTTTACAAGAATCATGGCCATGCCTACATGAATTGCTGGAGGAGGACACCACGCTTCCAGCACCACCTGTGCCTGCCCCCACCCCGAACCCAGAACTGTTCATGCTGCTCCCCAGCTGGGGAACTGGAAACTCATTCATTTTCGACCACATTCGCTATATTACGTGACAGGAGCCACTCGGCTGGGATAACCTGAACAGTTGTGGGGGCAGTACCCTCACGATCCTTCTGCAGGCAGATCTGCGCAGAGGTAGCCTCCAGCTGGTGGGGAAGAGTCTTCACACAGCACAGCTGGAGCCGAAAGCAGACATCTGTCCACATCAAGCCCTGCGTGTCTGCTAGCTGCAAATGCTGCCTAAGGGCAACGGAGTATTTGGTGCCTATTCTCGCTTTGTTGCCACCCAGACAAGAACACATGTAACTTTGCTGCCCAACCTGATCAATAGATCACTAGCACCTTTGCTACACATCTGCTCTCTGGAATAATCAGTGGAGATTATGGACACACATGGTATTTTTGGTGTGTCACAAAGATGCACTCTCTTTTTACAACTCCTGAACTCAATCCTTGCTTCTTAATCCTAAAAAACGTCCCTCGAGTCCAAAAAGCATTGGACTCCAACCTTGCCTTGCAGGAAAAGGTGGCACACAGCCCTTACCCCAGTGCTCTGTGCGATACAGCCCTTTATGCAAGAACATCCAGTGATCACAAAAGATTAGAACTGAAGTAGAAACATTTCTTGGGATTAGTTATTCCTTTCTAAAATGAAGTTCATCCCATTAAAAAGGTGACTGGATTTAATAAATAGTCATTTTTGAGGTTATAAATAAGTTAAAATTAAAAATAAGCTAGTATTTGAATAAATATATCTCAGTAAGTGCTTAAATACATACATGCTTTTTTAAGTTTTCTCTTCAAGTTAGCTCATGTTTTAAAGAAGCAAAATCTATAATACTGCCATAAAATTTTGTGCCTTCAGGAAATAAAATATTGCTTTTCTTAGCCCTTTATAATTTGATTCAGTTCCCATCCACTTTGATGAGATGGGTCAGATCTACTCATTATTGCTTGTAAACCTGAGGAAAAAGGAAAAATAGTTTATCTTTAAGAAAGATACTGCTTACTGGAGGCAGGTTCTCTGCCTGTACTTTCTAGAAAACCATTTTGACTTTTGTGTCTCAGTGGGTTAAAAAAATCCAACATATTTCCTAATAGCATCCTGTCAGCTCAGAAGAGGTTTTAGGTTTGACCTGGAACTGATTTCTGAAACGTCCTGTCTGTATTAAGGTATTTAGTTTGCTTCAAGTCCCTGCACCTGAAATGCCCACTTTACTTTCTGATGTGTAATTGGTACCCTGGGTACCCAGAAAACTAGATTAGTTTTGCTACACGTGAATAATCTAGTCCTAGAGATCAAACAGATAAGGCAACATCAGTCTCCTCTACCACGCGTAGGAAAAGGACTGATTGGAAAGAGCCCTTTAAAGTTGAGTAATGTACAGATCCATGCAAACTGACATTCATCCAAAACCACAATTTGTGAAAAAGACTACTGAGAAGTAGGCATCTGATATAAAATTTCTAAATCTGCCATTTGAATTCTAAGTTTTTATGTTTACAATAGCTCCCAGAAGCCTCTCTGTGTCCAAATGGCTGCTACCTGTGGTCACACGAACGACTGCCTCAAGGCTCAGTCCCTGTAGGCTCTTTGGTTTGGTGCACAGAGCAGCTCTGGGGCGGCCAGGAAGCCCCGAGCGATTTTTCCTTGCCGCTGTAGCCTTGGCCCTGCTATCTAGAAAGATGGGAGCTGCTCTGGGACTGGCTGGAAGATGTCGTGGCTCCACTCAGCTGGGAAAAGCCGCTGTTGCAAGATTCCAGGCTTGACATGGATCCCCTGGGATGGGACAAAACAGATGTATTTGTTAGGAAGGCAGCTATTAATGGCTAACTCTATACATCTGACAGGAGATCAACTTGCATTCTATAACACTTGCAGAAGTATTTTATTTTTTGTCCCATCTTTTTCAAGTTTGTCTCTAAGAATCTCAGGCTTCCTTTGTGTCATGATGAAAAATTAAATTGTCATAGATATCTTTTTTCTTAGCTACAGATATTATACCTTGTCTCTTGCAGTTATTCTGGGAGTGGGACACAGCTGGAGCCCCTGTGGGGCTGCATTCACAGCCGCTGAGCAGAAAGGAAAACTAAAGAGCACTCCAAATGCAGCATAGCTCAGTGAATGCAGCTGCCACTGTTAACCCAAGAGCTCCAGCCTGCTAAGCAGGAGAGTCCCAGCTTCAGCATGTCCAGCCATGGTCTTCAGCTCCTTCTGCCAGACTGGGTTCACCGTAGCTGTGACTGCCTACTGTTCCTGACACATTTTATGCAGGTAGAGCAACAAGGAACAGGTTTGAATGATCAGAGTGAGGAATTTGCTGCAGCTCTGACTCCACAGGATCTGGCCAGTCACATTCTCAAGGTCACCACCTGCCCATCTGCAGGTATGGTCTATCTAACACTTCCTCCAGCTCCTAGTGAAGGCTCAAGTACTTGCAAAGGATTCAAATTACTGGGTGATTTGAAAAGTGCTTTTTGCATTAAAGGAGGCTAGACAAATCCTGCCAAGGTTGATGTATTCACCTATTCAGAAAGCATTCTCCAAGTCACAACTGACATCCTTCTCAAGAGCCAAACGAAATATGTATGAAATAGCCCAGCTGATATTTGTTAAGTTACTCCCAAAGTAATTTGTCAAAATGTTCCCATCTAAGATCAAAAAACTCCTCAGTCAAAAACCTCCCCCTCTTCAGGTAGCTGTAAAGCAAGAACTGAAGCACAAATTCTGCAGGTGGACATACAGCCAAGGGGTCCCTTATTACCTACAGCACTGAAGGAGATTATTGGTGCAAAATGCCACCAAGTCTTTGTCCATCTAACTTATCATCAATGAAACGCACACCCTGTGGAGGTCATTGGTATCTGGATGTTTAACTTGCCCTTAGTCCTCTCATTTGGCTTCTCTATTGCAAGTTGTATAGTAAATCCCCCCAGTAAATCTCCTACCTGAAGTCCTTGGATGCAAGCACCTCATAGTAGTATATAAGCTTGCACTTGTGACTGGAAACTTGCAGAGAGGCAAGAACATCATCCACCCGAGGGAGGCTAGTGCCAGAACAGGGGAGAGGACCATGCATTTTCCACTGGAGAATGTAAAAGCCAGGCCAGCGAGTCACATGAGATCCCTGGAAGAGAAAGAAAGTGCCATCAAGTGACTGCCAGGCGTCTTAAGAAATAGATGAATGACTTGGCAAAGTCAAAAGAAATTATTGAGCTGACTACTTTGGGGAGCATACATCATTCACTTATTTTACATGCCTGAGCCACACACCCCTGTAATGCTATTCAAAAAATAGATGGTTATTTTCAATTAGCTTATCATCATGGACTATGGAATCTCTTTCCAATGGCTCAGTCTAAATTAGGACTGCAATAGCAGCCACTTTCTCAGGGAATCCAGAGAATGATGACCACAGCAACTATTTCCAAGCAATACATGACTCCCCATGCTATCAATTCCTTCCCCTCCCCACCACCAGACCATTTCGGAGTTTCCTAGGACTGTAAGATTCATGCCAGGACCCAAACACATCTGACCTGGATGCTCTCTCCTTCCCGGCAAACCAGTGGAGATTCCATACGGCTGTAATCCACCCCAAGGACCCATGTCTTATCAATTAGCTGCATATTGTCCCCAGCAGCAGAGGTACTTGGTAATGTGGCTTCTTTATGACTTGTTTCAGGAGCTCGTTTGGAGTGAAAGAGGCTGAACACCACATCTCCCTTCAGGATGTCAAAGTCCCAGGTGATGACGGATTCCCCTTCCAATATCTCCACAACTATCTAAGAAGGGAACAGAACAAGTACATTGTAAAGAGTCAGGTCTTCAGATGGCAGCCAGCATCTTTCTCCCCACTCTGCAAACACGCTTTTCTCTATAACCCTTCAGTTAAGCTATTGGTCTTGATTCCTAAGGAGGATGTAGACTGATTTCCATTGCCACTTTTCTGCCCCAGTAGATCTGCTCAGGCATTTTTACCCCATCTCTCTTGCTTGTAAATCATTTGCTAGTTCTAGGAAAACCTCAGTGGAACTGAAGCAAAGCATTCAGGACATAGCAAAGAGCACGTTCCGAGTGGCTATGAACTCCAAAAGGCACTGCTGCTTTTTCAGGAGCCTAAGCAGGCCAAACCAGAGTAACTTATCACCAGCGAAACTGGTAGGCTGTTTTGACATTCAAGTGCTCCTTCTTTGGACATTCTCTTTTCTGATGACCCCCGTCAGGATGTTCCCAGTACATACCTTCTTGTATCACCACCACTACTGTCCTAGCTATGCCACTGAAAATGGAAGCTGTACTATCAGAAGGGAAACTGAGGGAGCTTTATCTTCCCAGGAAGGAGTTCCAGAAGATCAGCCCACAGTAGAGACAAGTGAAACTGTTTCTCAAATTGCAGTTCTTTATTTCCACACTTCTAGCTAGTGTTAGCCTTCCCAAGAAA